GACTGCCAATGAGGGTTTCTGTTTGGTGAGATGAAAATGTTCTGGAATTAGATGGTGGTAGCAGTTGCATAACCTTGTGAATATACTGACCACCAGTGAGTTTTACACTTAAAAATGGTGAATTACATCTCCATAAAAATAACAAATTACCTTTTAAAACTCGCCTTTCCAAAATCAGTCTATTTTGCTTATGACAGAAGCAAAAGCTCTGACTCCGGCCCCAGGGACCACCTCATTTGTAAACATCCCTGTCTGTAACTTGTCTGGCCTCCTTGCCTACCATTCTCCCCTCGCTCCCTCTGTTCCAGCCCCACTGGCCTCCATGGTTATTTCTTCTTCGGAGCAAGCAGAGTCCAGCCTCAGGGCCTTTCCTCGCCTTGGTGGGGCCCCTCGCCTCCATCAGGTAAAGGCTCAAGTGGCACCCTCTCAATGAGGTCTTCAATTATCCTATTTAAAACTGTAAGCCTTCCCGGCTTGCTCTAACCCAGATATTTTTTCCCCGTTGCACTTACGACAGCTTAGCACACTGTATGATGCACGTGTTGTGCCTGCTGTTTACTGTCTGTCTCTCCCAATTAGAAGGAATGGGCGTTCCATGAGCATGGGAAATTTGGCTGTGGTATTCTCCGCAGTGCCTAAGACAGTGCCTGGATCAAGGCAGATACTCAGGTAATGTTTGTGGGTGGGTGGACGGGTGGATGAACGGACAGATAAACAGATAGATGGGTGGGTGAGTAGGTGGATGGATTTCCTGAAGGCAGGAGAGCATATACTCAGTGGAGAAAACCAGGCCTGAAAGGTCTCATCCCCAGAGCACACCAGCTCCCTTGGCTCAACTGATGGGGTGGCTGCCGGCAGCACAGGGCATGAGTAGAAAGGGAACCACACCACATGGCCCCTGTCAGACCCACAGCTCTGACTTCTCCAGGAAGAAGAGGTCATTCATTCATCCATCAGTTACTAATTGGGCAACTACTATGTGCCAGGCACTGTGTGCTAGGAGGTGAGGCAACCATGGAGATCCTCACGTTACTGAAGCCCTGGTTCTTGTGATCTCCCAGGATAGAAATCAAGAGCTCACCAGAAACTGATATAGAGCCTGATGCACTGGCCAGGAATCGGACCCGGGAGGCAGGTGAGAATCCTACCACTGAACCCCCTGGTTTCTTGGGAACTCCTGAGATAGAAATCAAGAGAGTTCCCCATATAGTAGTACTCAGGCAATAGGTTTATTATATATAGCTCATGCATCGAGGGAGAAAGAGAAATGTTGCTTCCCGAAAGCCAGGGCACAGTTCTAAAGAAGTTGAAGCAGGAAAGATGATGTCTAAGTGTGGCATCTAAATATGCAGAGGCAGGACTCTGGCGCTCGTGCAGTGTTAACTACATGCTTCTTCAAGCATCATGTCTCATTAGCATATTAAATCTCCACCCAAGGGAGTGAATTTTTTAGCGTTTAAATAAGGTCACCAAAAGGACAGTCTATATTGCTAGCCTGCAGGCATGAGTGAAAGGAACCACACTTAAGCCCATCAAAGTAAATCTTGCAGAAAACAGTGTCCTTCAGTCTAGCTCATGGGTGGGGAACGTCTGGCCCAAGAAATCATTTGGTCTGGCCCTGCCAAGGCAACTGCAGGCGGAACTCCAAATTCAATAAATCTAGGAGCTTCTTCCATCGCTAATTTTTAAGTTGATAATTTTGTGTGTCCCGAGAATGTTATATCCAAATGGCCCTTGGCAGAAAAAATGGTTCTCCACCCCTGGTCTAGCTGCTAACTGGCTACTAGGAAAAAAGAAAGTATTGGGGCAGTTAATGGGTTCCCACCTTCCTGTCCGAGGGGCCCAG